GGTATTGTCCAGGAGTATAGCATAACCAGGGAGCTTTAATCTCATACGAAACTTATTCCAATAATTCCTTAAAACGGTTGAATGTTTGAACCGTTTGTTCAGCCACAACAACATTTTTATGATTAATCGCTCCTTACTAATTGTCGCTAATGCGAAAAAATTTTTTACATGTCAAAAACTTCTTAATTTCTTATTTCGATACAAATTTATTTATTTTTTCGGAAAGAATGTGTCTTGGGACTCTGGAATTTGTCGTACTGCCTGCAAAGGTGGTGGATGAAAGTTTTACATTTTAAATTATAATAAAAACCAGAGTAAAATGAGAAATGTGTCACAACATTTGCCTCGAGAAGCATCATAAGTGCGAATGGGCAAACTTCTTAGTCTTAATGATGATTCATGTCTTTCGCACAGTTTATTGCTCATTCATTTTGGAGCAAGATCTACAAAAAATGAATGTTTACTTAAATAATGCTCTTAAAAATTCATTCATTTGAAGCGTATCATGCGATGAGACAGTTCTGGTATTTATAAAGAGAAATATTTTAATTAATCATGAATGTGTTTAAGAGATACAGATTCAGTAAATTGTTCAGTTTGGTGACAATCTTGCTTGATAATCAGAGTTGCTAATTAATCGTTGCTCCAATAAAATCATAATTTTGTGATACAATCAAAGTAATCTTTTTTTGGCGCAAAAAGTTGTAAAATCATTCTTAAAGAGAAATTCAATATTTTAAACATTTTGGGAATATTGGTGAGTAGAATTCAGCCTTATTAAAGATTTCAACAAGCTTTTAGATAACTTTGAGTTGATAGATTGTAAAAAAAAATATTCAGTACAATGAACTTGTTGATTTAGAAACATTTTTGATTAGAAAACAAACTCGCAAATTTAAAATTAGACTCAAATCTTTTAAATCATAAATCTAACTTCTCCTCTGCCTAGTAAAATTCCTCATTTTCTTTAAATTGCTCAAAATATAAGATAGATCGTGAAAGAGTCAAGATCATTGAAATAAGCACATCAATGAAAACTTTTGCTGACTGTCATTTCGTATTTATTTTTGGTTTGGACTCAGCTTATTACTACATTTTGAGTCTCTTAAGCGACAACATTTTAAATATGTCACATAATTTTTTTGAGATGAATGCAAAAGGATTGATTTTGACTGGGGTTGAGCAGGTTTTTTTTTGTGAATAATGGATGAGATAAATTTGGTAAAACTAGGATGACTAGATATTTTTTCTCATTCTGATTTAAATTCATTCTTCCTCCAGTTTAAATGACGTAAATGATTATTATTCAAATATACTTAAACTTATCCTTAATCTAGTTCTTCAAAAAATCTATCAATCAATTTAGAAACAATAGAAACCTTAAAAAATCGTTTTTTTAAATTCAGACGAAAAAGGATTGATCAAAACAATGATTCACTTGATTTCATTATCTTTTAAAAAAGTCACGAATACCTTTAAGGCATGAATCTTGAAAGCTATGAAAATATTGCAATCATTTTTTGTTTATTTTGCAAAAACCACAAATGTTGATATTTTTGATATCTGTTTGTCAATTATATATCCTGAAGAAAGGACGAAAGTAAACTAGATTTTCTTAAAGCTTACCAAAAAATAGAATTCATTTCATTGATAATTGGAATAAATTTCATTTTCATATGCCAGACAACTTAAAACAAGCCTATAATTTTGTGAAAGTGCTTCACTTTCGCTATCAATCCATCTTGAACGTCTTTTTCGTATTATTGACACAAGCAATTCTACTTAACACTCATTTATCAATCTCTAATATTAGCTACACTACTCATCACTCTAGGAAAAGACTTTGTGCCAGCACATTGATACAGTTTCTGATTTTCGAATATTTGATGAGCAATATTGAACATACATTGATGGCATTAAGTGAGTACGCAACTTTACCCTTTAATGGTAATCATGATGGTCATCAGTGATGACCTTACTTGCATGAAAGCTTGCATCCAAGTTAAGCCATCACTGATGATCATTATGACTGCCATCACATGATGACCAGCAATTAAAGCATGTTGAGTACGCTACTTTACCTTTGTGATTACCATCACATGATGGTAATCATGATGGCAATCACTGACTACTCAAAAAATAAAAGGAAAAATTATTTTTTATATTATAACTTAATTAATTTTTAACTTTTTGGCTTAGAGGATTTTTTGTAAGATGAAATTTTGTAGAATTATTATTTCATTTATTATTAGTATTGAGATAAGATTAAAATTTTATACTTGAAAAATTACCGTTTTTGCTGAGATTCGAACTCACACCTTCTAGATCACTCTTCATTGCAGAATCCTCTCACTTGTCCTCTAAGCCATTGCCTGGTTAAAAAATAGATACTTTGTTTTCGGCAATTTGACATATACTTGCATATTTCTTTGATGTTTATGTTCTTTTTCATGAAATTATTAATTAATTTAACTAATATTTTATCATATGTACTCAGTGAATGCAATCATGATTATCATCACCGACTACCATCAGTGATTACAATCCAATATACACCTAGTTTATTTCACAAAAATTCTTTGTTTTATTTGTTTTTAATTCTGACATTCATGTAAAATATGACATTCACTTTCATGTGATGATAGTAATGTTAATCATATTTTGTGGAAAATAATTTTTTTGGTCATCAAATGATGGGATTCACTGAGTGTAGTTTTGACTGTCTTCATGATTGCCATCACATTTTATGAGTAAGGGCATCAAATGATGGTCTTCAATGATGGTAGGCGTGATTGCCATCTTGATTGTAATTACAAAAAAATTCTGTCATTCAAAAAGTTTAAGTTTTAGTGAGTACAGTAATGATGACCATAGTTATGATAGTCAATGTGGTACTCACAGTGATGGCAGACAATGAGTTCTGAAGTGATTACCATCACTATGGTCATCATAGTGATGGCAGTCAGTGAGTTCCAGAGTGATTACCATCACTATGATCATCACTCCGAGTGATCGCCATCGTTGTATGTTCGGGAATACTGTAGGTATTAATGCTTTGCATTCCTTGCATGAATAATATTAGTGGTCAGGGTTAGCTCAACTTTCAAGGTTACTCCTCTGAAGTCTATGTTAAGATCCATTCTTTAACATATTTCGAGAATTAGATTCTAAAGACACTTAGAATAACTGACGAGATTACTTAACCTTAATTGAACTATCGAGATATGCTTCACGACTTGTGTAAGCTTATAAATAAAAATCTGCAAGAATAAAATGCGAATAAAATTTCCCACAATCCAATAAAATCATGAAACAAATGCGGTAATAAAAGAATTTTGATTTAATTTTCTTCCTACTCACTTAGTTGATATAAATATTAAAGTTCAATATAAATAAACAAAGAATCCGGATGGAAGAGAAATTTTCCCGTAAAAAAATCATTTGAATGAAACCTGAGAAACACGATTAATGAGAAAATGATGTAAAAATTTTTTTGCTTTAATTAGCCCATCATTTGGATAAATCATTTGAAGAGATTGAATGAGTTTTGTATAAGTTTCGTTATTAGTTTGCTGGTGGGAATTGTATAGTATTATTGAAAAAGTTCAAAAGAAAAAAGTTTGTGAATTCATCTTGGATTATTGCTGATCGATATTTACGTGATTCTTAGTATAAAGGCATAGTAAATGTTTGTGACTAAAACATTTTTGGGTACAGATGTTTAAATGTTTTATAACTTTAAGAACTTCTGAGTCAGATTTTATTGAGATTGAAGTTTTAAGCCAGGGGAAAACAACATGATGGGTTTTATTTTTGATTTATTTTCGAGATGGAAATTTAGATTTAAATTTCTCATCATGTTATTTTCGCCTTGGGAAGTAAATAAACTCAGGACCAGACTAGTCAAACCATAGACCAGCTTAAAAAGCTTCAAACCCAAAACAAGTCAACAATTAGTAAAAGTGCCAAAAAACATGCCCAATTTCAAGCAGACACGACGAAATTCTAGAAAAACATTTTTTTTATTATTAATAGTTTGTCACATTATAAATACGTCTATAAATATGATTTGATGATGAAGCCGATGCCTATTTAAAATCCACATTAGTAGTGGGCGAGTGGTGTTAAGTTTTTGGCTGTATTTTAATATTATTTCAACATTATTTGTACAACGATTATAATAAAAATCAATTGCTTAAAAATATTCAAATTAATTGATACGATTAAACGTGCTCGGTCTGTGGGAGACGATTTATAGCATTGATTATATAGAAAAATCTTTGCCAATGTACATTATAAATATCTGAAAGCTAATAAAAGAGAAATGAATGTGACACAAAGATATTAAATGATCTGCGACTGCCTTCGATGAAATGTCAAACAATTTTCATCAAATAAGAAGCACAAACTGAGGCAAACAAACAAATTAACAGAAATAATTTGATAGTAAGTTGCTCAGTTGCTACTACACAAATCGGATAGAAGAGAGAATCTCTCTAAATATCAATAACTTCAGCTGACTCATCAACTCTGACTGACTGAAAGAAAAATAGGAAAAAGAGTGATTTTTAAGTATTTTTATCAGGAATAGATGATTTTGTATTCAGATTGACTGTCTGTCTATCTATATTTTGATGAATTACTTTTCAAATATTTTTTGATCGTTATTTTTTTAAATATTTTTTATTCGTTAATTTCTTCAGAACATAATGATTCTTCAAAATGCGCACTCTTGAAGCCTATTCATTCCATGAATGTCTACCAAGTCTAGTTCTCAGATTCTGTTATGTATAAAATGCGTACATACCAATATCTCACTCTCTATCTCTGTTTCTCATTTCACATTCAGCACATCAGTTTCTCATAAGAAAAAAAAATCGTTCTTTCATGCCTTTAAAAATAAATACAAGTCTCTCAAACGAAAAAGACGGCGATCTCTTCCCCCCATTCACATTTCTTCTATTTTCTTCCTTTTCTTTTCTCACAGTCGTATGGCGACCGTGGAAAATTCGGAAGAAAAGATACATAAATTTTCTTTTTTCTTTCTCTTGCTGACTGTAGCGCGTTGCGAAATCATTTAGTAAATTTTTATCATTTTGATAAGTCAAAAGTGTGTAAAGTTAAGTTGCGGCAAGAAAAAAAAAATCATTTTATTTTCGTGCCTTTTTACCTTCATCACGCGGAAACAGATTTGATTTTCATCGTTAAAAAATATTTTTCATATCGGACAAGTCAATTGAAATATTTATGAAAATTGAGTGTTAATGATTTTAATTGAAAATATTTATAAGGCAGGAAATTGTTTAAGTGCCTGGTGTGCGTGAGAGAGAAAGTTTTGTTTACGTTAAGAAGAGAACCGCAAGGAAAATGAGCTCTCAAACAGATCATCATTATTATTCGTCAATTGTCAATCACTTAAAGGTAAAGGATTCTTATTTATATCTTGTAAGATAAGGTCACACGTGGTGGGTCGTTCGCTAGTGATGTCACACCTCACATCTTTCCTTTGTGTCATTATAAAATCAACTTGACCACCCAATTGAGTGTTAATTACTCTCAATCATCAAGAGCCATAACTTATAAACGACGCCTATGCACTTCGGACTCTTATTTTGTATGAAGCACATCGTCATTCAAGATCTTGTGATAAATTCCATCATTAGCATTGTAAAATATATTAAAATGAAAAATATTTTGTACGACAACAAGGACCAAGGCAAATAATCTAGAGATGGAAACTTTTATGACTGTGTTTGTTTTGGTATGGAATACACATGATGATGTGCAGTTATCTGTGTGAATTATGGAGGAGGAAAAAGAATGGAATTTCGGGTGAATAACAAGATGTTTGAATATAAATTTCTGTGGAGATTTTTTATTTCATTTGGATTGGAATGAGGATGAGGATGGGGTTCATCTTGATTCTTTTTTTATATCTTATTGGAAATTTGTTTTGACCAAAGGTCAAAGCTTTTTGTGGTTATTTTAGCTGCTTAAGTTTTCTTTGTTTTGTAGGATTAGAGATTTGGCAGTTATAATGAGTCATAATTCAAAAGTCTAAAGGTTTAGGGCTATACTACACAGAACATTCAGGAATTAAAAAATTCTGATATTTTCAGGACATTTGGAGAATTCTCAAAAGTTCTATGAGTAGCGTTTAACTAAGTCCTTTAAGTCCTTTAAATCTGAGGATATCCTGAAAAAAAAAATAAAGCAACAATTTGAATTAATTGAGAATCGAACTGGAACGATCTGAAATCGAGTAACCCCAAGAATTATCTCAATCGTGTTATCGAGAAACTTAATCAACTTATATTCCAACCCTAGCTAAAATAAAGCTCGAATCCATATACCATGCAGCCATAGTTCCCATTCCTAGACCACAAAACAAGAAAGCATCAGAAAAATCATAAATCTCGAAAACATGAGTAATAAATAGCCTGTAGAAATATCAGTTGACATCCGAGTATTTAAAAAAATACGAAAAACTGTCTCGTCTTTAAAAAATAATTTTTTGCACAGCATGTCCATGCACAAACTATAGCTTAATCTTTTTTTTTTCATAATTAAGAATAATGGGTGGAAAGAAGATGATGAGCAAGAAAATTTCAAGGTTGGTTGTGGAGTAAAAAAATCATTTATTTTTATTTCTCATGAGAAGTCGAGTAAAAAGATTGTTGAGGAGGAAGACGACATGTGACAAATTTTCTTCTGGTGCTTTATCATGTAATTAAAATGTGTGGATTTCGCATATGTCAGTGTTTGTTTACAGATTCCCATTCCATTCATAATGGTTTAGTAATTAAAATTTATTAATCCATAAAGTATGCCTTAATGGAAGCAAAAACAAACATTCTATGTGGAACTTTAAGAGCAAGAAGAATTGATGGAAGTCATAAGTGAGATTAAATGATTTGCGGAGTCAATCAAGAAGACATGGTGATGAAATTTCGTATAAGTGCTACTAAATCATACCAAATTGAGTACCTTGTGCTGGTTCCGTTCACTGCTGTAACATAAAGCTCGTAAATTACTATCATGCACTGAATTCATGCATTCATCCTTATAAATTGAACAACTAAAGTTTTTATGGGTTATCAAGTGCAGTGGAATATAATTTTGCAATAAAAGTTGCATTATTTTTATTTGAGAAATGTGCAGCTTTGTAGTAACTTTGTTTGCATTCGGAATGACTTGGAATTTGGGTTGTTAATGCTAGAAATTTAATGGAAAATCTTAAAAGCCAGATGTGGTTGGAGATTTAATTGTAAGAATGTGATGATATCTAGGTTGATTTCTTCTGATGAAGGTCAACGACGTCAATCAAAACTGAATCTTTCTAAGCTGTGTTTTGAAGTTTCACACAGCTTCAAAATATGCCTCAACAACTAATTACTAGGATCCAAAAGCTGGTCAAGGTTTTTTTAAAATTTGAAAAATAAAATAATTTTTATGTCTTAGTTCCCAAGCTATTAGCAAATACTTTCTTCGTAACAAAAACGATACCCAGTAATAACGCCGACACGGAATAACTCCACAACATCAAACCGGAATAATATCGAAAATATTTTTTGCTCAGGTCGGTAATAACTTCACCTGTATAATGTAGGTGAAGTTATTCCGGCGTCGCGACGGAATAATTTCACCTACTTAATATAAGTGAAGTTATTACCGCTTCATACCGGAATAACTTCACCTACATAATATAGGTGAAGTTATTCCGTCGCGGCGGCGGAATGATGCCGAAAAATATTGTATGTCGACTTTATTCCGTCACTGTGCAGGAATAACTTCACCTATATTTATATAGATGTGGCAGTGAATTCGTAATACAATTTGAAATTTACAAATGGGCAATCTCGTTTTTGAAATAATTTTTCTCAATTTTCAGCAATTTAAACGTTCCAGAGACTTAATATACTTATGTAAAACGATAAAATTTGGATGCTATTGCTTGCTTTCTGAACAAAAGCAAAGCAAAAGGGCAATGGGCAATTCTTTGGATGACTTTTTAAAAAATTTCAGCAAAAAATCGAAATTTCATTCAACAAACTTTTTGTTTCATCACATGCATATCAAATGATAGATAAGGGTGTGTTGCATAGGATAGACAGAATAATTCTGCAGAATTCTGCTCAACAGTTTCGCAACAATTCTGCAGAATTATTCTGATAAATTCTGCAGAATAATTCTGAGAACAACATAATAATTCTGAAGATTAATTCTGAAGAACTTATTTTTATTTTGCAGAATTATTCTGTTGAATTTTTTTTTTCAGAATTTCACAAAACAAATCAGAAGCATTTTTTCCAAATTCTGCATAATTAAAAGTTCTGATGAATAACTTTATGAGAATGTGATTAAAGACTTTGTTTTTCCACAATTACAAATTAATATGGAAATTAAAATAGGAGTACAACATTTTTCAGTGTTTCACTAAGTTTGAAACAGAATTGATAAGGAATTGTTTTTGACTTTGCCAATATTTTCCTTTCGCTCCTCTGGTTTAAAGCCTTGAATAGTTCCAAAAAATTATTCATTATTAAAACTTCAATTGAAGATTATATACAAAAGCGTAGAAAATTTGATGAAATTTTTGAATATTCAATTTTCGAGATCGAATTCGACACGATTATTTTTAAAAGTAAAGTTACTAGATTTTTATTGCTCAATTGGCAAGGTACAGGTCACAAAATTTCGAGTCGAATTTGCACTCTCGGATTCAAATCCCATCACCAGCCTAGTGATTTTCAGAAGTTTAGATACTTCGGCTTCTTAGGTGCAGCAGTTTAAGACGTAAAACTAAGAATTAGGCAATGTGAGATGTGGAAATGAGTCAAGAATTATGTAGACAGAATGAGGAAGATACGAGAGCTGTAAAGATCTATAACAGTTTTTAATTGGGTACTAGACACACAACTGCTTAGTGAAGATTATGCGCTAAACACTGAGCTAGCGTACATAATAAAGATTTAAGAATTATTAATGTTATATCTTTGAGATATGTTTATTAACTGGATTTCATATCATGTTTACTATGATTTTCTTATTATACAACAATTAATGTTAAAAATAAAAGTGTAGCGCTTAAAGGTTGCACACTGTTGCACAATTTAACATGAATAAATTGAAATTGAATTGAATTGTGTTCAGAACTCTGAAAAATGTTGTACTCCTATTTTAATTTCCATATTAATTTGTAATTGTGTTTTTAATCACATTCTCATAAAGTTGTTTATCAGAAATTTTAATTATGGAGAATTTGGAAAAAAATGTTTCTGATTTGTTTTGTGAAATTCTGAAAAAAATTTAGCAGAAAAATTCTGCAGAATAAAAATAAGTTCTTCAGAATTATTCTGGTTTTGTTACATCCATGTCACGCAACATTGAATTGTTGCGCAACTGTTGAGCAGAATTCTGCAGAATTATTCTGTCTATCCTATGCAACAGATTCCTTCTGATGAAAATTTATGTCTCCTTACTTTAATTAACAACAATTTCTTATATTGAAACGTTGTTTGTAAAAATATAGAAGTAAATGAATATGTCTTTCTGATTTTCATAAAGTTTTAGCTTAGTTAAATTGCATTTTTGAAACACTTCATTTTTAAAGTTTCCGTTGAATGATAATCACCAAAATTTACATCACCAAAATTTTAACTACTTTAATGCTCCCTTTTTTCGCAAAAAAAAACAAACATGGTATGCAGCACATTAAGATTATTTCGTGTCATTCTTGATGTTCAATGGCTTAAGTTTATTGTTTGAACACAATTGACAACAAATTTGACTTAGTTCGTTCAGTTAATTTTTTTTGTTGATCTTTTATATTGTGTGAAATTTAATTAAAAATGGATTTTTCTATAGTTTCTGGAAAGCGTGATAATTCAGAAATTTATCACATTAATATATATAAATATAGGTGAAGTTATTCCTGCACAGTGACGGAATAAAGTCGACATACAATATTTTTCGGCATCATTCCGCCGCCGCGACGGAATAACTTCACCTATATTATGTAGGTGAAGTTATTCCGGTATGAAGCGGTAATAACTTCACTTATATTAAGTAGGTGAAATTATTCCGTCGCGACGCCGGAATAACTTCACCTACATTATACAGGTGAAGTTATTACCGACCTGAGCAAAAAATATTTTCGATATTATTCCGGTACCGTGTTTTTTTTAATAGGTGCAGTTATTCCGTGTCGGCGTTATTACTGGGTACCAACAAAAACACCTCAAATCCCATCAGAACATCCCAAATGAATATTTTATTGCGCTCAAATTAAGCCAAGCATTAGAATAACAATTAAGAAATCTTTTTCTGAGAATTAATTTGAACGTGACGAGATTAGGAAAGTTTTATGACTGAAAACAAAATTCAAATGACTTAAATCCAGAGTTGTTATTAAATGTGTGTGTTAAATATTGCCTACAAGGTAGAGCCTACATCTGGCCTACACTTTATCAAATATTAAGCCTCATGACTTGCATTTCTGTGCATGATCTCAACCATGATCTACAAATTAAGATTCTTTTAAGCTTAGTTCAACAACCCGACTGAAAATTCCTATCAAACTCAAAAGATATTTACTTTTTAAATCTTGACGACTGCCAACAATAACAAAGAAATTTTCTAATTTAATAAACTTCATGTTTTAAAAGATTTCAACTTAACAACAGTTAAACTCATGTCACAATAAATATAAAATTAAAAGATTTTCTAAAGACAATAAAAATAAAAAAACTCAAATTTAAAGAGTTCGAGCTAGAAAACAAAAAAAAAATTCCTTTCATGCCATAATTTACATCTTTATTTCTCTCGATGACATTAAAATGTTCAGAATTAATTAAAGAAGAGCGAAAAAGGATGTTCGATGCTCATAAAAACTTACTATTCGTTAAATGATTTGAATCATTCGCTTACATTGCTATTGAAAGAGTTATTCTGTGAAGGGATAGCGTGGAACTAATTGTTGTGGTAAATTGGGTGTTAAAGGAAATAAAACTATTAAGCAACAAGCTTAATGTTGTTCATTAGAATATGATAAACTTGATTAAATTAGAAAATTGGTCACTAATGGAAGCTAGACTATTTAAGAATTTGGCTCAGGCACTTAGTCAGTAATTTGTTCAGCAGGACTAGATTTAAGTATCAAAGCTAGAATCAAAATTTCTTAATTAATTAACAGAATCAGTGACTTTGAGCCTCGTTTGAAAAATCACAAAAATGGCGCCAAAACATATTTAAGGTGTACCAAGGTCAATTAAATCCTTACTAACGCCATTGTACAAAATCTCCCAAAATTAATCAATCAAATCAGTTTGATAAAATTCATTTAAATTCACAGCAAATGACAAAACAAAATTAGGATGTCGAAAATATCACAGACCATGTGCTTTTCAATTAAAAATTCACCTGACAGATATTTTTATAAGCAATAAAAGCTCAATCATCATCAACCTATTTCTTGATTCAGATAATATTGTTTATATTGATGAGTATTCACCTTGTCAGAGATGCAAGATGCAATAATTGATGGACCATAATAAATCATGTTTATTTAATAATTCATGTACCTATCAGTAATAAGCCATTGACATGCTCGCATGTTTTCATGACACACATGAAAATATGAATTTTAAAAATGATGAAGAAGCTACAATGTAGGAACATATTGAAGAGAGAGGATAGACAGCTGATGAAAGTGAAAATCCTCACAAACACAAAAGTGCTGCGCGTGTGAGTTGAACGAGAAAAAAATAGAGAGAATCGCTTATTCATGTGACGTATAGTGTGCGATGTACATCAATCAATAATAATATTAATTTAATAGTAATACTTTGCAAAGCGAACGACTCGAGGAGATGAGTGAAAAAGGCGAAGAAGATTGCAATTGCGAAGAGTTATAAATTTAGACCAGAATATGAATAAATATTCATCATTAACACATTTCATTGCTTCTTCTTCTCCTTTGCGGGCGAAAAAAAAATTGTTTAAAAATAAACAGACAAATAATGTTGTTTTCAGAGTCGAGGATATATGTGATATATAATTATTTTCATATTTCTACGCAAAAAGTTATTCCTCTCGACCAGGTTTGTTCATTGAGATTTGAAGGAAGTCAAGCATCAATCAAATATGGAAATTTGTAAAGATCTTGACAATGAACATTTTCTTAACAAATTTCTGTTGTCTCGTTCATGGGAAATATATAATATGAGTCATTCAAGAACCAACAATGTGGAAAGTTTATTATAAATTAGGTTTTTGGAATAGAGTCAGCATTCTTTTTGAGAATTTTGGGTATTTTATGAGTTTTGTGTTTATACTAGCATTATTATAAGAATAAGGAAGTAGATTTACATTCTTAAATGTCGTGACTTAACAAAATGTATTGTAGTTCTTATTAAGTTAGCATTTTGGCGCCAAAAAAATATTCTCATCAAGAGTCAGATGTTTTTCCATCCACCAACTCTGTCCATAACGTTATTCATGAATGCTAAAAAAAATATTCTCTATTTTATCATCAAACCAGAATAAGTATAAATATGAAAATAAGAGTCATCAATTTTATAATAAGCAGAAGCACATGATAAGTGTACACGTAGACCAAAAAGGATCAAGTGGAAAGTATTGAGGGAATCACTCGTCATCATTTATTAAAGGACAATTTTATTCGTGTCCTCGTTATAAAGGAGAACTGAATGATGTGAATGAAATATGAAGCTTATAGATGTACAGTCAATGAATATTATTTGTTAAGGTGCAATGTTCTGTGTCACTTATTGTGAATGGAAATTAATTGATTGCTTTAAATAGACTTACTTACTGTAACCATGTTCCTATGTGGATCTTAGGTTACAACAAAAGGCTTTCCATCTGACTCTGTTCCCAAGTAGTTTTTGGAGCTCTAGGGCGTTTTTTCCCTTGCAGATTCCAACCAAGGGCGGTTTAACAAACTTGTGTTGCTGTCCCAGCAGTGAAATTCTCTCTGGATAATAGACATCATTAAGCTTAATTCACTTAGAATACATTTTGGAAACCTATGAACTCCTTATAACAGATTCATCCATAGTATTGCGTCGTTCGGGCTTGTCTAAGCATGACCTTATTCGAAAAAAATGCATGATGAATTAATATCGGTCAATTATCTACAAAAGAACATCTTGATTTTTATTAATTGGATAATCCATCATTAAAGTTTGTTAATTAAATATTTGAAGCCTTACAACATACTATTTAATTGGAATCGTTAACAAGAGAAAAATAATATCGATTTCGGAAGCATCTTGTTAGAGAAATTAAAATGTCTGAAGTCTGAAATTTGAGACTAATAATTAAGTTAAAGCAGGTTGAGTGTATTGACTTTATTATAAGCGGTTTAGTTGACTTCGAGGTTTGTTTGCTTTGCGATTTAAGAAAGATTAATGATTGAGCCCCATCTAGGATCTTGTAAGCTCTTTCTCAAAATTTAGGGGTTTGTAAATCTATCCAATAACAACATGATTTTTCATATTTCGAAACAAAATACACAATTTTCAAAAAACGTTTTTCCTGAACTGCCTCAACTGCTCCCACAAAACTTTTAAAAATGAATGAAATAAGCTATCAAAATTATCAAAGTAAAAATTATTGTATACAAACAAAAGCGCGTGCAGCATGAAATATTTTTGTTTAATTTTAATCCAAATAAAAAAATTTCCATAACCTTGAAGACTTATCAACAATTTTGAGAATGAAAAATTAATTCCTGTGGTTGTTTGTTTACACTTAAGCACAGCATGAAGCATGTGATTCGCTCAAAGTATACAGCAGTAAGATGCATGTCTCTTTGCCAATGAAAACAAACTAAGTGTAAACATTAATATTTACCGCTACATCCACAGCTCATAAAAGATTAGACTTGGTGAAAGGAGTGGAATAACATGAAAGAGACAGTGGGTCGTGTTGATATTTTGTAACTGCTATGGAACCTTGCAGGGAGCTATGGGTTGAAATTTTGATTTTAGATAAAGCTTGCTTAATTGGTAGCTTGTTATTTAATTCTTGGACTTGACAATGAAGTGCTTGATCTATCCGTTCATCATAATTCCAATATAAGGGGTTACGTAACCCCCAAACAACCCCTAAAAACATTATTAAGGAAGCAGGAAAATGAAAATTTGTTTCAATTTTTAATCTAATTATTTTTTCACTGTCATGGAAGTTCGAGATGTGCTACAAGATGTCTTAATTCATCAAGTATGCAAATTCAAGTTTTAAGCTTGACTGCATTTGATTTTAATTAAGCGACACTTTTCATATTAAAAATGTTTCTCATTCAATGAATTAAAATTTATATTTCCTTTCGCAAATTGTAAAAGATTTTTGAGTTGAAAATCCTTAAAAATGTTCAGCTTGACCGGCTTGTGACTGCAGCGAATCTTTATCTTTTTATATCCATTTTAAGAAAATTCTTTATTAGCAACATTTTTCTTATTTAATCGATATAAATTTTGAATGAAAAATTGAACACCTGTCATGGACATTAATTCCACAATTAATGTGGAACATCTGGGACATTTGAAAAACTTTTATTATATTCCCATCAATTAATTCCCCTTTCATCTTTTTTGGCTGTCTTTGCAGGTCTTAGGACAAACGATAATGGGCAGAAGAAAGGTAATTAATTGCTTATTGCTTTATTTATTGAGTAACTGACATTATTTTCTGTTTCCTTCTCGGTCAATAAATTTTCATTTCCTTTAAAAATTATGAAGAGCTTGAAGAATCAAGAAGAACCTACAAATTACACAGAAGATGAGTTGAAAGGTGAGTTTTCAGTTTATTTTTAATAAAATTGTCGTTATTTAATTAAAGCAAGTGGAACTTGCAACATACAATTAGATTTCATAATTTTTAAGATAAATTGTTGCAGCTGGGAACTCTGCCTATGCTATTTAATGTCATTTAAGAATTTAAGCGTTTTTGGATCATCAAAATCTGGGTTTCTTATGATTTAATACTACACCAACCCTATTATCCTCTAAGAACACGTCCTTAGTTCTATAATTATTAATACTTAACTAGGCATTAATAAATTTAAGCTCGAAAATTCTAATCTAATTCAAAAATCTATCTAAGCAAACTCAAAACTCCTTTCCTGAATGTCAGCAGTAGGTGGTGGAGTTTTTGGCAATGGAGGAGGACTTTCGCCTGTCGAGCTGGAAATATAAACTCTGTTAAATTCATGGTTCATCATTAGCTGATTCCTGTGGATTTCAATTTTACTCCATACATCATTACTGTCCTCGTAAAGATCATCATCCTCATCTGAGGAACTGTCTGGGACATTTATAAATTGTACTGTACTATTTTTTGGCTGTTGTGATGTATCTTGCTGGGATTTAAGAATTGACTTTGGTGTTGTTATTGCTGATTTTATAGCAGATTCTTCTTCTTGGGCTTGGGTATCAATACTTGAGATAAAATCTTTCATCGCAGCTGGATATTCAATTGCAGTTGAATTTGGTTCTTCGGATAAAGAAGAATCTTGGTTTTGAGGTTGTATTGAGTCTAAAGTGTTGACTGAAAAGTCTGTATTTGAATCAACTGCATCTTCATAAATGTTAGAATCTGGCTCATGTTTAGAAACTTTTGGAGTAGGTTCTAAAGATGAATCTGGTTCATAAATCAAAGTTTTGGTGCTAATGTTTATCGATGAAACTTCAGTTTGTTCAGAAGTAACTGTGATTGATTTTAAGGAGGTATCTTTATATTCTATAGGTGGGGATATGATTGCTTCTAAAGTGGTAACTTCATTTTGCTTAGAATCGACAGTGTCAGTGTCCATAAGAATGATTTCATCATTTTTCTTAGGTAATGCAGCTTCATTTTGGGAAATTTCTTCATTTTGTCTTGTAGGTTGATCAATTGTTACAGTTAGGTTCGAAATCTTCTTTCTAGGTTTGACAGCTGGAGGAATAATTTGGTTTCCTTGAACATCCTTCTTTTCTTTTGGTGGCGTTAGATCACTTGCCTTTGATCTTCGACGTACAGGAGGCTTTGGAGGATTTGAATCCTTAATAATTTCAATTTTTTCGTCACTTTCAGCCACCGAGTCAATTGTTTTCTTTGGAGCACACATTTCAAAAGTTTGAGCACTAATTTCCTTTACTGGACGTTCCTTAACTCTTACTGGAACAGTTTCAACTAATTTTGTGTCATGGATCTCATCAACGATTTGATAATGAGCAGCTTCGTCCAATTCTGATTCCACACCTTTCTGAAAGACCAGAATTGGTTCCTCAAACTTTCTTTCATAAGTTCCTGGTTGTGAATCATTAACCAAGTCAGGCATGCTGCTTGTAGAATTCAATCTCTCATAGATGCTTCTCCTTAATCTTTCATTCTTCTCAGCCAGCATTGAGTCTCTTTCTCTTCTGTGTACTGCTTCATCATTAGAATCCAGCACTCTATTTTCATCAATTGCTAAATTGCTACTGGATACCTTCATTTTATTCTTAAATGGCCAACGGAATATGCTTTCTCGGTCAGCTAAAAACATAAAAAAATAATTATCAGTAAAAAATACTCGATAATAAGGCAGTTGACACACTTTTATGGTACCAATCATAAAGTTTTTTTTACTACTTCGATAAAGCTTGTAACTTGATAAGATTTCTTTTCTCAAGTAGATACTTACAACTTTCTTTTTTGACATTGTATGTTGATGTATTTCTTAATGTCGGTTGAATATCATTGCCACTTGCTATCAGTTCTTCCGTTGTTGAATGACGGTATCTACCCTCGCAGCAATTCTCTCTAATTGTCGTTGTGGTCGAATGTCTTCGGATGGTTATTAAATTCTCACCCGGGGTGTTTTGGAAGGTCATTCGGTATCGAAAGCGCTTCCATTTAATCCCAAGAATTAAACTGATGACTAGTGTTAAAGCTCCGATGGCGAGGAAAAGTGTGGAGAGTAATTGTTGGGAATTTTGAGTTTCTGGGGATGAAGATCAAGTAATAAATTTAAAAGTAGGTTGGAAAGAACATAAAGCGCATTTTTGGATGAATATTTGAAAAAATTGGCAAAAGCACAACAGTTATAGACTAATGTTATCTGACTATCGTATCCAATGTCTTTCAAACAATTTACTATAGCAAATTATCGATGCAGTAATATGAGTGAGGTGCATTTTAGTAAAGGGCAAGGATGTCGATCCTACCAAGATAACTTTAGCAAAGTTCACAACCATTATGACTCTCTTTAAAATTTCGGTACTACTTAAAATACTTTATCAGTAACTCTCAAGTACACAATCTTAACATGACACAGACTTGGAATGTTCCAAAATAATCCGAAAACAAAAGCCTTGATAAGATTTACAACACAATAAACATACAGATGAATGAGGTACAATAACCTCAATATCGTATCTTTAATTCCAATCGAACATGTCTGATCTTGCAATCATCACAAAGTATCACATTTGCACTTACGGTGATTAGAATTCGCATCAATTTTCACCATTGTTCGCAAATTATTTTTATTTTCTTCTACACGGAATGCACGCCAAAATTAAACTGTCATAATATAAATTCCTAACACTTAAGTATATCGGTCTCAAAAACTGATTGTAGCTTGTTACGATAAGATAGATTCCGTAGATGTGTATTTGTATGAAATGAATTATTCACTTGTTTTAAAATCAGACAATAATTCGTCAAGATATTGTCCCTTTGACATGTGATTTATTTATTTTAATAATTTATGGATATGATGAGGCAATAATTATTTGCTTAATCATAAGGCGATTCCCTTTAATTGTATCGCAAAAATAATTTTCACAGTATTTGCCATTATCAACTCATAGTAGAAGTATTGTTTTTAAACTTTTTCCTCGCCTCCGTACTATTTATAAGTATCGCCTAGACTTGCTGCAACTCGTAGTAATGAAATTGAAAAACTGTTTCCATATGTATGTAGGATCGAATAGGAACATTAATGTTTGTTTGGTTAATATTTGCTGAAGCAATGTTTAAAATGAGAAATATCAAAGTTTTGATGATAGCTGAGAAAGTTTCTACGACGATGATATTGACCTTTTTAATTTTCATCATGGAAATGAGATACTTGTTTTGTAGTAATAAATATTCTCATTAAATTTTCCACCTACGTTAAGTTAAGTTTTGCTAAAACCAAGCATCATTAATCATTAAGGGTTACTCACTTGCAACTTTCAACCTTTTGGGAAATTGAGAAGTTTTAAGCTTCGTGCAAATTTTAAAATGATTGGATTCAGAAGCCAGCAATGTTTCAATTTAAAACGACTCTTTTCCCGAACAGCACAAATCGGTTAATCGAATAGAAATTCGGCACCAAGACGTTGTGACTCTGGCATGGCTGGACTCAAATCGAATCCTGTTCAATGCCTGAGTCACTCGAGCTTGGTTCCAGTTTTCTATTCGACCAAACGACTTGTGCTTTTCGGTTTAGTTTCTATTCAGCTTTTCCTCAATTTCGTGACTTAATAACCATTTTTATTTTATTTTGAATATTTTCAAGAACTTGAAATAATTATGCCATTTTTGCATGTCTCCTTTTTCGAGCCTTAATCAATATAATTTTACAATTCACGTTCTTGATAATCCATAATAGTCATGAATAGTTTTTAATGCCATTTCAACCACTACTTTGCTTATTTTAAAGAAAAAAAGCAGCCACGAGCAAAACATAACAGAATCAATAATGAAGAAAAACACGAACTTTAATTTTCTCGGTCACTAAACCTAAAGAAAATTGTAAAGAGCGTTAAAAGGAAGAAGAAAAGTTTTTATGTTGACAACTTCTTTTCCTAGATTGGTGGTAAAGAAGTTATCTTGAAGCAATTTGACATTTTTAAATATTAAGATTTTGAGTTTCAATTGACAACTTAATAAATTTTAATCCTTAATCATAAAAGTCTGGAATGGATAATTTTAAAGTTTCTGTCTTAACGGTGTTGATAATGAAATCGCAAAAATTGATGTTTATTAAGCTAGCAATCTTAACTTTAGATTTATGTGCATATTAAACTTTACACCTTCCTTCTTTCCATTTCCATTTCTTTTCCTTAAAAACTTTTTTTTTAATACTTTATCGCGAATTTCAATCAGCAATATGAAAAAACTTAATTTAAACTGCAAGTCAAATTTAATTATTTGATTACAACTTGCTGCTGCATAATGTACAGAGCTTTCAAAGTGGCTTGAAACTTTTCATTCAGCTTTTAGCAGCCGGTTAAGTAATCAATAATTGTAAAAGTTCCTTTTTCCTTTGATGGAAGTATAAAAAGTTCAATAATGATTTACGTTCAGGGTTAAAGAGCAAGGCTGTGTGGTGGAATTTGTGAGAATTGGAAGGAGTTGAGGCTGAAAATTGATATTAAAGCAGAAGTTTGTATGACGAATAGCGTTCCTAGTATGAGTTTGTCATGATTTAAAGTATATCGAAATGAATAGAATGAGATCTCGTTGGTCAATAAGAGAAAATATAGAAGATATAAGATATTTAAAGAATTTGAGGAACGAACTGCACTTCTACAAGAATTTCTATTTGAAACTAGGTCATTATTCTCATAAATAAGCAAATGATCCCATTTGTATAGCCAAGTATGCAATATATTCTATTTATTATAAAGATTAATCTTACCAATATCTAGGAACAACAATAATCATGACCAGAACACTTTATGCATATAATCAAATAAATAATGTAGCAACCAAATATTTAATCCCTTTTATTTAAAACTCTGAACTTTATTGATCGAAAAGCTTTAAGATAAGAGCTCAGGAACGTTGCATTGCATTACCATCGTATGCTCATTTACAATGCAAATCGGGTTGTCTGAACGTCGTATTACATTAAACTTCACTGTAGAAAAAAATTAGGGTATGAAAATTTCAATTTTAAATGAAATCTCATGGAAATTAAAGCAAATACGAAAGTTTCTTCAATTCAAGTATTTACAATGATTTATGAATGATGGAATATTTGCATGCTTCCGTTAGGGGCTGTTCACTTATTACGTAACGCGAAAAAATGACTTCTTAGACCCCTTCCCCCCCCCCCCCCCCCCCCCTCGTAACAAAATTTGTATGAAAAAAAAATTTCTTTGTTTGAACCGTAACAAAATCTTAGACCCCCCCTCCCCCTAAAAGCGTTACGCAATAAGTGAATGGCCCTTTAAGGATTGTTCATAAATGATGTTTGTTGAATTAGTATCAGAGGAAGTGTTAAGACAGGATAATAGTAAGATTTCAGTGTTAATTCTCTGTCTCTTACCACTCCACATATCTTAAACATCATTGCCAAACAATTCATTCAACACCTTAGAACAGCTTTCATCTTATAACAGTGCTAATCAAAAAAGGATTTTCTTATTATTTTCGCATTACGTTGCAAGCTTTCCTACATATTATAAAACTTGATTTATGGATTTAATAGAGATTTATAGGATTTATAAGTTTATGTTTGAATAGCGAACATAGCAAGTGATTTAATTTTTCAATTACATGCTACCTTAAATCCATCTCGCGGACTTAATTTGATTTTTTTTCATGCTAAGAATACCAAAATTAATGCGATTTCTTTCAGAAATTAAATGACTTGTTCAAATCTTGATTTTTTGAGTCTCTTTGCTTGGTAAGATTTTCAATGGTCATTAACATTTGTCACAGTTGAAAGGAAGAATGGCTAATTTTCTTAAGACTGAAAATGTCGACGTTAAATATAGAAAATAATGTCTTTAATTGTAATTATTACGGGAAGAAGATGTTTTGCAATCTAGATTTTAAAAAAAAATGAAATTCAAGTATGCAGCAGATGGGAGGAGATAGCAAAGTCATAATTTCGTACTTATCAATACAAACACATAAATACTGGTTTGCAAGCTCCTATCTTCAACTTCCTTTCGATTCTCTTTCTTGAACGTTGTTCATGCTCTTACACGTGAGGCCTTCTTAACATCATTAAAACTTTTACTAATAAACAATAGCCATTTTAGAACTTATTAAACAAAATTTAACTCATAATAATTAGTTGTTTCCTTCGCAACTTTACACACTTCTAAAGCTTTTGTCGACGCTGCTTGCATGCCTTTAAATAATAAATAAAACCATTAGTCAAAGAATATCATTTTGTACCGACCGAAAGCAGTCAATCAACACAATCATTAATTGCAAGTTATAAACATGAATGAGCAATATCAACAAAAATAATTTTCATGCGTACAGCTTGGGGAAGTCTTTGAACCGAATAAATTATTTCTTTTTTCTATAAAAATTAAGAAGTTTACCGGCGATAAATTTGAATGGGAAGTCATTTGGATAGAGTGATTTAATGTTCAGAAAATTATTATTGGTTCCTGTGAAATGAATCCAGCACACGTGATATAAAATACAATTAAGAAAGGATATTTGATTTGATTTACAGAATAAAATTTCTTTTATGATTAAATATTTTTGTACCAAGAGTAAAAGCAACATTGTAGATTACATTTTCAAAGCATCTGGATTTTCTATAAAAGCTTAGAAATTTGTAGACACGAAACCTCTTGAAGTCAGTTTGAATGTGCATACGTGATTGAATAAAGTACTTTGTATAGAAGAAGGCAATGAACCATTTTTAATATGAAAATGTTATGAGATGCACTGGATTGCCAGTAGTCTCTAAAAAATATAGCTTCGCTACTGTCTTTTAAAATTCAGCATAAAGTCAGACAAACAAAATTCTTCTGATTAAATGATAAAAATTCAAATTTTTTAACCTACGTCAATTTAAAATTTGCAGATATGTGATAAGATCTTATCAGTTCCACCGTCACATTTGCGAACATTTCTAAGTTCTACAGCTTTAGATTTCTGTTTTATATTTATAGCAATAATGATTCAGACCTCACGTTTAAAAATTATTTGTAGTATATTATCATTGAAAATAACAATCAAGGGATTAATTTAGATAACTGCCACAAAGCGACCTTTATTCATTAATCAATACCTGCGCTCTTGAATAAGTGCCAAATTTACAAAAATTAAATTGCAATAAAACTTTAGAAATAAAGATATTAAAAGTTTTGGATTGACGTTTGAAGATTTTGCGGAACTTTAAAGTCCTTGCTTTGTAGGACTTTTGATTTTTAAGAATAAATGTTTTAATGCTATTGAACTTTCAAATAAACTTTTACTCAATCTTCAAGCTTTAGGACAATTTTCAAAAATATTTTTTTTTGATTAATTGGAATTTTACAAATTTAATGCTGGTTGTGCCGCATTTTCAGTGCTGGTTGTTCATTAAAGCTTACTGGAATATAATACTCAACCTTGCTGTAGAATATGGAATTTTATTCTCAAAAAACCCGAGCAAATTCAGTAATTTTTTTTCAAAAGTTGGTCCCCTACTACAACTATGAAAGAGTGGAAGCACACCCTAGATTTTTGAGAAATCATTAAACATTTAAATAATCATTTTTTATTAAATTTATTTATTTTATAATAAATCTCAATGCAGCTCGAAACATGACACATTGCACTCACTTATCGATTCTTTAATTTGTCAGCTATTAAAATTTTGATTAATTTTTCGACTGAAACTCGTTCAATTGTGCATAAATAAAATTTCCAGATTTCATGCCTCA